AAGATGGAGGGGTATTAATGTCATTTACTGCCGTTAAAACTCTCATCACAAGGGCTTTGTTGGGTAAATGAAATTTGCCCACATTTCTCAGCTGGCAGAGAATTAATGATTTGTCAGCAAACTGTGAAGTATAAATGTTATATTTTCCCTATACTGCACAGTTTGCTGACAAGCCTTTAACTGAAATATATATAAATATATATTTTCTCTCCCCTATGACAAATATATATAGCCTTTAACTTCACGCTAATAAACATGCTGTTTACGTGAACCGGCATCTCTGAATTGCGTCACAGTGCCTGTGTGCGTGTGTGTGTGTGTGTGTGTGTGTGTGCCCCGCGATGCCCTGGCATCCCTTACCTTCCTCGCACCCTTTGCTCCCGGGACAGGCTCTGGTGCCTCAGAGAATTTCAGAGCCACTCTGCTTATGCAGCTGTTTTGTGTCCTACTCTACAACTTTTCCAACCTCTCCGTTTATTACCGAAGCAGGCTGCGGTTACTCCTCTTGTGTTATAGTACAGTCTTACATAGTTTTACAGTGTTTTTGTCTCCGCATTCTTGACAGCATTGTAATATATTTTTTATGACATGGGTTTATCCAGACCTATGGACCTAAGGGAAGCCCCCTCACTGCCCATAACATGCCCATAGGGTACTGTGGGTCCAGTTTAGGCTGAATTTGGTTGTAATGTTGAACTTGAGGGATAACCCTTGTGCCCCAATGTACCCTATACGGGCTCTACGTGCATTTTGTGAAGTGGAAACAGCAGGTTTCTATACCCACCTGAAGGACACACACGATGCCTACTTTGACATCCACATGGGCTTTGGAACAGGGGCCCAACAGGAACAAACCCATGGCACCCACGACTGCTGGATTTTGACCCAAATGGATATGCAAATCAAGGCACGCGAAAGAAGTTTCTGGGAATCGCTTCTCTTCCTGGTGAAAACGGTAATCGCTTCAGAGCTTGTAGCGCAAAGTGTCTCCCTGGACCTCTGAAGAAACACGAATGAACCTAAGATGTATTAGAAATTAAATAAGGTCATCTGTAAATAACAGGGATGAAAACAACATTCCTTGGCGAGTCTGAGTCATAACATTGCAGTCCAAGTCAAGTCTCAGGTCATTTACCCTCAAGTCCAAGTCGAGTCTAAGTCCATATTTTTTGCTGTCAAGTCACGTCATCAAATTTGACTCGAGTTGTCAGTCATGTAACTTGACTTCCTACCTATGTCAGATTTTAATCTTTAGTGGTTAAAACTTGCTGCAACAAAAACCCTCCACAGTATGTTATAGGATGTGTTCTTTATAGGCAGATAAATTGAAAAGAAAGTGCCCACTCACGGTTGTCCTGAAACAGTTTTTATGACAGTGTATATGCAGGGAATGATGCATCTTGCCAACAAACTATCTCAGGAGACCTTGCATTCAGCCAATGAAAAATGAAGACAGCAAAGAATTAATATACACTGAAATGATAAAATTAACATTATGGTATCCTGAGGGGTGACTATAACCTCAAGCCTCCTTGAATCATAGGGTCTAAGTCGGGTCCAAGTCTTTTCCTCAGTCGAATCGCAAGTCATCAAATTTGTGATGAGTCCAAGTTGAGTGGTGAGTCAGGGACTGGAGTCCCCACCTCTGGTAAATAAATATGTTCTCAGCTATGGTATCACCTACTTTTCTCTGACCTTATGCTCTTGAATTAGGTGTAACATTAACGGTCATTTGAGTTTATCTAATTTTCTCCCTGGGAACCAAACAAATTTAGCACACCACCAATTAGTTATAACGATCTTGTCAAACCATGAATGATCGCTACTGCTTTTTGCTGAGCTTGCTCGAATGCAGAAGTGCCCTTTTTAAGTGAAGTGACGAGAGTTGTCCAAGCTAGGCGTGAACTAATGCACCTTGCAGACTCAGCAAGACCCCAGGGAACTTAATTCTTTTCATATACAAATACATCCACGCAATTCGCATTACTTACTTGATCATGCCTTAGACCTGGCGGCATTTATGCAAACTCGTTCCCAAGAGGGGATGCCGTTATCTCTCTGGCCTCCCGTATATCAGCAATTTTCATAAAATTTCATTTCTCGGGTGTTTGCCTACTCCACAATGTCATCCCTGCCTCTTGTAAATATTTTGAACGTGCCGCCTCATTTGGCTTCACCTGCAAACATGCGCGGTTTATAAAAACATGCAGGTCTGAGCGTTTTTTTTGCAGCAGCATTTTACCCCATTCCTGGGATTTTTCCGACATTTTCCTTTGTCGGTGTTTCAGTTTGCATGGCGAACAGGAGAGAAAAGATTGCGCCGAACAGCCCTATATATATTAAACCTGTTTATATCACAGTTTTTTTTTTTTATTCCTGCAAAAGGGGGCAGCTCTCCGTAAGTCTGAAAAGCTTGACAGACAGATTCATATTTCACTTCACAGTTTTAGAAAAAGAAATGACATGTTTTACAATATATAATTAAAACGGAGCAACTATAAGCAGCGGTGTCTTACGTATCCCTGGAGGTAGCGAATACGGATTTGGTGTCACACAGCATACACACCAAAGACATTGCAACATCATACCAAATAGAAACCAACAAGCAATGGGATGTCAGAACATTACGTTAGTATATATTGTCAATTCCAGCCGGGATCAGTAAAGGATAGATAAGGTTAATTGTATCGATATTTGATAGGCGCTAATGCGCCATTGACCGAATCCTGCTCCATTGTTACCACTGGCACTGGCCCGGAGAGAACCAACAGAGTATTGGGTGGCTGATTCATTAATGATATTTATTAGGGTCGGATGGCCATTTCACCTGAGGTTATGCCTGGTGATAGCTGCTCGCTCCCAGAATAACTTGGTCTAGGTGGGGGTCAAAGAGGACGTGGCTGAGGGGGCCCGACAGGGACCAGCAGCTCATCACTGATGCCTGAGAGTTTAGTCAGCCCCCCTCCCCACAAACGAGTATAAATGCTAAATGCTGGCAAATATAATTTGTCAACATGGAAAAAACGGCTATAATGTCTATATTCACTGCTAGCTAACCATGTGCATTAAAATGAGATTAAGTTGACCACAATAACTTTTCTGTGAGGCATAAATAAACATTATAGCTTCCCAAATAATGCAGGCAACCACCTACTATTAATGTATATAATCATATCCACCTATGCGACACATCACTCAGAGTTTATTCACTGGAATAATAGAATTTCTGGGCAAACACTATGGACCTGAATTATTCAAAACACCATTTCCACATTAAAGTAATTGAAGTCATTTTATTATTATTTTTTCATATCTCAGCCTTATCATCTCAAATAAAAACAAATTCAATATAGTAGAAAATCAAACATTTCCAGGTATAATACTGTACATATTTACAGTTTGAAATTAGCATGGAAAAATGGGAAGCAGCAGTTTGGGAAAGATACGTGGGTGAAAAGTGTGTTCATTGCTGGAGGACAATATGTTGGTCAATCAAAAAGTTTTTGAAAGCGATTTGCACAGTTTCTCCTAAATGTGCTTTTAAAGCACTTTAGCAGTAATGCTCATATGTACCAGAGGTCACAAGGAAAGTGTGGATCCACATGAACCCTGGGAGTCTTCCTATGGGAGGAGATGCTTATTATCTCCACATTAGGGCTGCACAATTAATCATAAAAAAAAACGCGATCTCATTTCTAAATTACATCGGTTCTTCTGCATTGTATTACATCAGCTGGATCAAAACAAGTGCTCCTACTTTTCCCCAGAGTCTCAAGCATCCCATAATTCTGTATTCTCTTTAAAGGGTACTTTTCCATCACACCAAGTACCTTACTTTTGGAACTTCAAGGTGTTGATTTTCCACTGCCATAAAAACCGGTACCAGCACTGAATGACATCACAGTGCAAGCCAGGGTATTTTGTACTGAATTTGAAAGAAGGCTGTAGTATATTATAGGCCTGGACAATGTGTGATATTAATACCAACATCGCATGTTGTGTATGTGCAACTTTTACTTCAGCAGGCAGCTAGATTAAGGTTAGAGTTTTTCTTACCTTATTTCGGTACGGATATTATAGTGCAGGGAGTTTACGTTTCGCTAAAATATCTTTCCACTGTCATAGGGAAAAAAAATGATCAAGTTTAGCAATTTTAGTTATTACTTTTTCAAGACTTTCTAGTATACGTTTAAAAATCAGTTTAAAGTTTAGCTCTGCTGCCTTTGCATGAGCGATGCATGCGTTCTCCGAGACAATCATAATGATTTTCATCCTTGCTATTTAATTAAATCCCCCCAAGATGGGTTTTTTGTTGTGTAAATACCCCAATATTTATTACAACAAAATCACATTGCAATACTTAGAAATTTTCCAGTACCGTGCTGTCCTAGTATATTATACAAAATACTTGTATTTCTTTTTATCGTATCCTGATCTCTGCTTCTTCAGACCAGATGGCAGTTAAAGCTTGGGTCACTTCCTTTGTCCATGTATACATTATTATTATTTTATCTCATTTATTGTTGTTTTCTGAGTTCACAAATGTTTTCAAGACATCAGTTGTATTGCATTTCAGAGGCAGGCTATTTGCATACCTGATCGACAAAGAAAGCGTTTCACATCCTACCCAACAGTACCAAAAAAGTATCCCACTTGCACTTTTGGTACTGGAACTTTGCATGGCTGTTTTGGTTACCCTAACTGGATGGCCAATTGAACATTTCCTTTGTGTTGCTGGAAGTTGATATGCCGGTCCTGGATCAGTCATATGTTTGGCACAGTCATGTTTTGTTGTGTTTCCTTTTGCAGTTTTTAGTGTAATAAATATTTAAATTTAAGAAAAAAATCATTACAGAAACTGTTTCTCAACTCTTGTGAATTGTGATTTTTTTTTCCAGAACCTCGCAGCCCTTCTCCGCATTAGCAATCAAGCACACTACAGGTTCACAGTTAGACTGCCAACATCATCAGCCTAAACAGCACATTAGGTAAAGTAATACAGTAAGTGCTTAATAAGGAAATTCAAACCAAGTGAAACAGCCACAGTACTCACTCAATCAGTCCCACCAGGACATTAAGCCAGGTTACTCTTACAGTAGTACTTTCATACACAAAACTTTGAGACACTTCTGTTGAAATACCTTATATGTATATGCAAAAAAAACTGTAGGTTTGTAGGTATTAGAACTCATGTATTTTTATGCTTTTGGGGGCACAAAGTAGGAGCTTTATATAGGTACAATTCAATTTTGAACAGCATTTGAGCAATAAAAAGATTGTAGTCTATTTTGCATCCACCCCACAGAGTAACTGAAATACAGAAATTCAGCTCGGTTATAAAGAAATGGTATAATCAAAGGCAGGGCAGGAACTGCTGAGTAAATACTAATAACGGTCGAAGGCATCATGACTGACATGGACGAGCTGTGAAATTAAGCACAAGGAGAAGAACACGGAAAAGCCAATACCCTCCTTTTTTTGCGCCCCTGCCAGATTTCATGCCAATTTTTTTCCTGTGCTGGTTTTCCAGAAAAATGTGGACTAACTGGGGTCACACCCTTATTCCAAATTAGGGCACTAGCAGAGAAAAAAATAAACAAGTGCACAACATTTTGTGTCGCAAAGACAATATTTAATGAAAGTCCCCAGGTCTGTGCATAACAAAGAAGTAGCTGCTATCTCTCCGCACACGGAAGGTCTGGTGTGAAGGACGTGGAAAGCGCCAAGCAGGAAAGAAATGGCTGCTTTGTGTGGTGTGGCGGCATCAGAGCTTCCACGCAGGACGCCATGGTCTCTTCAGCACACAGAGAAACCCCTGTGGCATTTGACCATTAGCGTTACCCACATACTCCAATCACTTGTTCCTCCAGCCACTAAGTGGTGAACTGTATTCACAGGACCACCAGAGTCATCGCTTATCACAAGCTTTGATGGGTCTCCTCTAGGGTTACAAAAGTCGGAAAATTTTCCATTAATTCCCATATATTCCCGGTAATTGCCATGGAAAGTTTCCAATTTGGAATATTTCCAAAATTCCTTAGCTTAACTTCCCATGAAATGGAAAGTTTCTGGAAAGGTTCTGGAAATTTACCTGCCCTTTGCAACCCTAGTCTCCACAGAGTCTAAGATTCTATCTGGATTCCTGGGATGAAGGGCAAGCCAGTGGGAACCTTGCGCTTGTAGTCCAGGTATTCCTCACCGAAGAAGAGGATGAGGGACAGCTCTTCCTCCTCAACACGCTCCCGGAAGAAGCGCCAGCTGGCTAAGGTGTATCCCAGCAGGCACAGGGGGTTGCAGAGCATCACCTACAGCACACAAAGCCCACGGAGGGTGTTAACCAGGCCAGTGGGGCAGCGAACACCAAAGTCCTTAAGAACATGAATCCATTACCTAGGAGACAACAGCTGAAATACCAGCAGAAATAGATAGTTCAGGTCCAGAAAGTAAAACTCCAAAACAAGATTTTGTTTTAACCAACCAGTTGAGCATACAGAGTCACAGTCACAGAGTACTGAACTGATTGGTTGAAACAAAATCTCGGTCTGGATTTTTTTCTTTCTGGACCAGATTTATCTACCTTTGAATCCCAGAAAATGGTCTTTTCAGAAAGCCATTCAAATAGAATCATTTTGATAAGCAATTAAGCATTTCCGTAAAAGAGTCTGGTGTCCTGCACACCTTACTGATGTGAACTAACCAAACTGTCACTAATAGCTTAAAGAAGCCATTAGCACATTTTTATCACTATACCGTCTGCTATATTATATTGAGGCTGCGGAGGATCCAACCAGTGGATCTTTCACGCCTCGGAAAAAGGACGCACTCTTAGACCGCATTTGAAGGAGCCTTCGAAATGGAACAGCCTTGTCAGGTCGCTATGACGCTTGCAGTCTTTGAAAGGAGCCTTTGAGTCATGCAGCCCCTGAATTTGGACACAGCCATCGTCTTACTGCCACGAGTTTCATCACAGCACAATACGCGCATGAAGGGTACACACAACCAAATGCGCCGGCTGTGCTCGTCGCTACAAGATGCACGTGATTCCCACCTGTGTGCCGATGCTCCAGTAGAACCAACCCACGTAGGAGGGGTGGCGACAGCAGGAGTAGATGCCGGCAGTCACCAGCACATGGCTCTGGGCCTTTTCATTCTGGACGATGTGGTTAAAGTTGGATCCAGCTGTCATCATGGCCGACTTACGCAGACCCTCCCCAGAGAGGACCATGAGAAGACCAAGTAGACTCAGCCATCTCCACTGCTTCAGGTCTGAGTGGGATTAAGGGGGAGACATAGAGACCACCACATAGAAACTATACCATAGTATGGAATCACACAGAAATGGGTAGAAACTCAATACTACAGTCAACCTCATACTAGACGACTAGACATACTATCTTCTCCTGTAAAACGTAAACACACACACAACTGTTACAAATGCATTATAAACTGTCAGAAAAAAAGAGTACCAATTTGTACCTTTGCTTGTCACTGGGGCTGTACCCTATAGGGTCTGCTAATCGTACCCCTTAGTTGCAGGTAAATGTACCTTTTAGTCTAATTAAAGGTGCAGAAATGGACTCTGAGGAACATCCCCAAGGCACAAACAGCATTAATGTACCATCAACGGTTCCTCAGAGTCCATTTCTGTACCTTTAAAGGTACAATTACCTGCAGCTAAGGGTACAATTAGCAGACCCTTGAGGGTACAGACCCAGTGACAAGCAAAGGTACAAATTGGTACTCTTTTTTTCTCACAGTGTAGGATAAGCCAGAGTAGACATGTAAACTTGTGTGTCTGTCAGAATAAGCTGACCTGGGATCAGGAGTTTCTCCAGTATAAACTCCAGCCAGGAGCAGACTGCTGCTACTGTGTATTCCACACTGTGGTTCAGCAGGAAGGAGTCCAGTGTCAGGCTGTGAGGGTTCATGACGGCCGTCATCAGGTACTCCGAGTAGTGAAAGAAGGACAAGGCACACATATACCTGCGGAAGGTGCAGACACAGCCCACTCAGCCAATCACAGCATCCCTTCACATCACATGGAAATAGTTTAATGTTTTTTTTACCAGCCAAAGTGTGTCCATGTTGTCTGACCAAAGCTTATCAGCAAGCCACATCCGAATGTGAAACCAAGGAGAGCTGCACGCATGGCCACCTTTGGGGGCGGGAATATGATAGCGTAGGATTACTGAAATATCTGTACAGCCTGAGTACCTGGTTTATTTCTGCAACATTACGACTCAAAAGAAAACATTGTTTTTTTTTTTGCTTTTCTACAATAAGGTGTAATAAAATAGCAACTGCATTCCACTTAAGCAATTAAATCGGTATTACACGTACTACACTTGCTGCTAAATTAATTAAGAAAGGAGTGAAACTGAAAAGCGGTTAAGATGGAGATCCAGGTGGTTAATAAGGTGTTCGTGTAGACCCGAGACTATTAGAGGTGCACAGTCTCTTCTAACTGGGATAATTTGGGTCAACATGCAATCTGCACCATATTGCTCTTGCAGTAAAAAAAGTCCGAGTAGATACGGCAGATTGAGAAGCAAACCAAAGCTACAGTACGTGGTCATATTACAGCATAACACATCCAAATCCAGGATGATGCAAAATTTAACCGGCTTAAGAAACCGGAGAAATCTTTATCAGGCATACTTGATTAATGTAACTGCAACTAGTCTTTGCAGTTTAAGGATGCAGATCCGTATGGGACAAGCTGTTAACTAAGTATGATCGCTTAAAAAGTGCAGGACAAGTATTTATTTTTAAAGAATGATGAGGGAAATATAACAGGTAATATGATACCACATGGGGTACGGGCACAGAGCATCACTGCGTGCTTACCTTATGAATATGCCCATTGTACAAAATCAGCAGGGTCGCGTTTACCACTCCCAAGTAAATGGCAAGGATCCCCTTTCCCGCAGTTCCGGTTACATCCACCGAGGTCAGCACCGGAATGAATACAACGGCCAGTCCCAGCACAAAGCCGGTCAGGCTCACTCTGCCTTCCAACACGAGTTCGCCTCCTGCCATGTTGAAAGCGGTAAAGGGTGCATTTGCAGGGGGGGAAGCATCGCGAGCTTTTCCAACCGGGCAGCGACGCTGCAAAGCAGGTAATTGCCAGTGGCGGTGGTCGGATGCCCTCTAGTGGTCGGTTCTCGCAACACAAAGGCAATTATTATTTTAATTTTGGCAATCCTCTGGCAGCAGAAATGTTAAAATGTAGTAGTAAAGTCTTAACGTGTCATTTTCCTGAAGTGTTCCGCTTATTTTAGCGTACTGTAAAGATACTTTTGCGTGATCATTTAGCTGTATACAGCTGGGGTTGCCAACTTTGGTCAGCTGGCTGGAGTGAGATTTTCAGTTCGAGACAAGTCTGCACACTTATTTACATGTATGTAAGAGTTTTATTACCTTATAAATAGTCTGTATGATTTGCAAACTGCCCCAACGCTTTTGATGTGGCTAATTTTAGGTTTATAATAGAATAATATATATTTGCTGTAAGATTTCTTGCTTGAGCGTGAGGGTCTGAAAGTGTGAGTGTCACGCCAGATGCGTGACAGCTGGCAACCCTGTGTATAAAAAAGAAATCCGTCATTTTCATTATTTGATAATTATAGAACCATTCAAGGTTCCGCTATTTTTCCGGATTAAAAACATGGATGGGACAGGATGCCAGTCTATCACAGGGCACTTCCACATTTTGTCTTTGGGCAATACAGACAGCAAGTAGTTTCGCTGTAGGAGGAAATTGGGGCAACACGGGTAGAATATGCAAGTCCCACATACACACAGAGCAGGGGGGGTGAGGCAAACAGACACCGTGCTGCGCATTCTTCTCATAATTCTTGTTGTTTGCCTTTTTAATTACAGCCCCCCTGTATCCCCCGACTCCCATGACAGATGGAAGCTCCCATTTTTTCCTTTTCCGGGGGGAGTATTTCTCCTATTGTGTGTACATAAAAATCCCTTCATCATAAAAAACCCAAAAGGCATTCAGTAACTGTGTATTAGATGAGTAGCATCGAAAAAGACAGGTTTTATATATAATGTCAACAAGGGAAAGAGTTCTTTCCCAAATCATTATTTAGAATATACCAGATTCTCCAGATGGAAACATCAGCGTCTAAATTCCTGTGATCCATGCAAAAAGGTCAACGGAACCAGAGTAATTAAAATCCATTGACGGACGTGCTAAATTAACACTTAGGACTTTAACTCCCACACACACTTTCCAAATGCACATTAACAGCTGAGATAATCGCCTCTGTTCGGACCCAAAGGGCAACGAAACACGCGGAAACATACGGTGACTGGTTTGTCAAGACCATAAATACGCACCGAAATACACAGCGCCGCATATTAAGAGTCACACAGGAGCAGCGTCAGAATAAAACACTAAATAGAGGCCCTACGGTACTATGGCCGTACATGACACGGATTTATACAGAATACAGAGAGAGTATAGCTACAGGTTGCCACTAAATGGGGATTATTGTGCAACAACCTGTAGTCAATCTGTCCTTGGTCACTCCTGATCAGTTATTTCCCGTACAACTTAATATTGCTTAAGGCTGATGATTTGTTTCTTACTTGAAGATTTATATTAGCAGAGGTGGAAAGTTCAGGTCCAGAATGTACAAATCCAAACCTTAGTTGAGCGTAAAGGTCACAGTCACAGGGTATTCTACTGGTTGGTTGAAATGAAACCTCGGTCTGGATTTGTACTGTCCACCTCTGTATATTAGCACGTGGTCTTGGGAGATGACAGAGTGGGAGGTTGTGCAGAGATTCATAAAAAAGAAAAAAAAAAACTTTGATTTTTATAACTTGTCTGGTATTTCCGGTAATCGAGCCCTGTTGAAAATATCAGTGCTAAGGTCAATAGGACCATTAAGGCCATCTGAAAGTGACTAGGTGATTCCTTGTCGCATTCTGGAGAGAGACACCTCTTTAACATTAATGCCTCAGTGTGCACCTTATGTGTCAAACAACATCTTGCCTTCAAAGAATCCTAATTGCACCCCCCTCCCACCTGCCTTCCCATGACACCACATTTTTCACTTACTGTGAATGGGTGGGGAGATGCACCATTATGCAGTTGTTAAGAAACCTTACAAGAAAATTTAGAGGTCAAATCTTAAACAGCTGTAATCGATTAAGTGTCCCAGTTCCATCTTGTTGGTGATTTTAAATCCCTTTTAACACAATTTATCTTACAGCATCACCACATTCCTAAGGGCTATAACTCCCCTCAACCCTGGGTAGTTTTTAGAATCACCTCTGCCGCTTCTTAAGGTCACGCAGCCGCCACTTTGCTAAGAATTACGGTGGGGGGGGCGGTAACGTGGCGGCCCGGGCTGCCGATGAATCTTACAGCTCCAGGTCCCCGGGGGGGGGCTGTCTGCACGTCGCCCGAATCCCAAAGGCGAGCACACAATTCAGAGAAACACCAAGCAGGCTTGATTTAGTACTCCCCATTTACTCACAGATCCCTACCTCACCCCCCACCCCCCGCTGGCAGTGAGATGAAAGCCGTCATTCCCAGCACTGCAGCTCATTCCCTCCTTTCTTTATTTTTTCATGGGGATTGGGAGGGATGATTAAGACTTTAGCCCTGGGGCAAGTCTCTTTTAAACGTTCTGCTGTGGGCGTTTTAATTATGGGCCATCAGAGTCCGCCCATCGTTAGCCGCCGGAGACTTGCCTCCCAGTTCCTGACAGTCTAAGAATGAGATGATGCTGTAGACACATTCGAAGAGATTCATCTGACATTCAGAGGACTTTTCCCAGCATTGGCACATGTTCCTCATGCGCCGATCATGTGACCTTATTGAAAGGAAATTCCTATCCATTTGCAATTGTGTGCAGGTACATTGGAATGCTTGTTTTCACTTATCTCACCGCCATTTTGAGACATACATGCACATACAGGCGAGCACAAACCTGGGAGTCACAGCGCAGGGTCAGCACAAACCTGGGAGTCACAGCGCAGGGTCAGCACAAACCTGGGAGTCACAGCGCAGGGTCAGNGCACAAACCTGGGAGTCACAGCGCAGGGTCAGCACAAACCTGGGAGTCACAGCGCAGGGTCAGCACAAACCTGGGAGTCACAGCGCAGGGTCAGCCCACATGCCGCGCCTCAGGGTCTGGGGCTTAAAGACCTTGCTCAGGGGCTCAATGACGGCATCGGTCTGCTTTTCCCAGGATTCCTCCTGAACTATCAGTGACCTTCTGATCAGAGGCCTATCGCGCTGAGCCGCGCAGCACCCAGGCTAGGTGCCCGGTGGAATCTCAGTCTCTGAGTGGCACCCGCGGAAAGTCACATATAGGTTTTGAGGAAAGACAAAGATATCTATCTATATTCTAAAGCAGTGCAGGGTCGCGGAAGGCTGGAGGATTTCCCAAGCAGCATAGGGCACAAGGCTGGGGGGGGAGGGTGATGCCGGGCAGGTGGTCCTCATACACATGATCACATGGCATGGGCAATTCAGACACCCGTTAGTCTATCTGCACCACATGGACACGCACATGGAGCGGGGATAGGAGTCGATCTCCTAACCCAACAGCACTACCCTGCATACAAACCAGCCGGTTCTGTTCTGTTGATCTGATTGAATTGTGACGGATCTTTAGCCGCTGTCATTCTGCTGTATCTCACAGGTGAATATTTCCATTCGAAGACCTTTCTGGTTTAATTAAAGGTCGATGAATGTTTGATATCTAAGCTGCCTGCTTCCGACTGGTGATTTTTCACCTTAGAAGCTCACTTTTGACATGGGCACAAGATGAGCTGTTGCATTTGGCATATCAGAGACAAGGGCATAGGTTTGGTTACAACACTGAGAGACCAAATCATCCCCAAACCCCCCACCCCGTAAACACACACGCTACTCCCATAATATTGGTAGACCTTACCTACCATCCCCAAATCTACACCCTTCATTAGAGATGACATAATTCATTACCCATATGTAACAGATTCATGTTCTACAGCTTCATTAGGGGTTTGAGACCTAAGAACAAATTCATCTCAAGACAATGAACAATGTCACATCACACGTCCAATCAGCTTAAGGTAACCTACATGCAGCCCTTCCCCCGCTTGACTGTGCCGTTGTGTACCTGACAGTGCAAGACTAAGAACGTTCTGCTACTCAAGGTGTTCTGGTGTCCCAGGAAAGATTCGGCTGAGTGCCCCTACAACCCTAAACCTAACCCCCACCGTCCCACCATCCCACCATCCCACAAAGCAACAGAAACAAATATTTCAGTATCACTGGATATCTGGCTCCTAACTAACTAGCTGGTATCTGTTTCACAAGAAAAGTAGTGAAATATATTATAACTAGTGTGAACAACCATAATATCGCAGAATGCAACCAGAGGTATTTCTTCAAATTTTTTCACACTCGCTTTTTTGCATCCCCTATTCAAATGGACCCTATAGGGCCAGCCCTGTACTCTGCATTTAAGACTAGCTCAAATTGTGGAATTTTTCTCTCCAAGGTTAAATTCTTATGTTATTCCAGGCTGAACCAGCAGGGGGCATCTTTGCTAGACAAACATTTCCTATCCCGCGCATTACAGTCCTGCTTCTCAAACTAACGCATATTTGAACATTAACCAGAGCTGAGCTGGAATCACAGACATCACAGTATAGATTCAAGACAGCTACATCGTTTCTTATTTTAAAAAAAATACAACATCTTTTTAACACCCTTAATGTTCACTTTAGATAAAAGATTAGACCTGTTCCTTGTAAAATTTCCTTCCTGTGCCTCTACGTAATGGCTGAGTTCTCTAGGACCACAGTTCCCCCTCATCCAAATTGGTCCTGGGAGTTCTGTAGTAGAGTAACTTAATTGCTTTCCCGGTTTCATGGGGGAGCGAATGGAATAAAAGTGGGACAAGGTGTCTTGTCTGACCTTCGCCGAAGCGCCCCCTAGGGATTGATCATGTGCCTGCAGGTCACTTGCTGGTCTTCTAAATCTGTGTGAGCTGTGCCCACAGCGTGATATGTAATCATTACAGGAGCGCTTTTCAGCCATGCTGGCAAAGATTTCTGAGAATATGGGGGGGGGGGGGCACATGCCCATAAGGCACAATTA